TTTACCCATCGCCTATAGAGGATGGATATGGTTACGGCGATATGACACGACAATACAGAAAATCTCTAAAAATTAAGATACAATACGCTATGGATACAGCAAATAAAAATGTATATAGCAACAAAAATATAATTTTACAACATAATTCATCATTCAAATTCAAGTACATTTAAGTTGTGTGTTAGAGAAAAAAAGTTCGAAATCTAATCATCTTTATACTGTATAAGAAGTGTGAGAGTCGTATTCATGGTTTTAAACTTTTAATTAGAGGGAAACTCTTTGTATTCAGCAACTTTCAATTATAGATGTCTCTTATTAATTTTCTCCTCCTCATTACCTTTTTTGAAAGTGTAAATGTATCCTAAATGTAGGATACGTGTATCCATCATGTCAAATTCGTGTCCATCAACCAGGGTACGTGTTGGATGAGTATCGGGCAAGTATAATATCCGATCAAGTATCAAATACAGGATAAGGGATCAAATACGGGATAAGGGACCAAACAGAAGTATCCGTGCATCATAGCCCATCGCGTGTGTATATGACAATGTGTGTACAACATTATTTACCCTAGTGTTTGTAGTTACTGACCTGGATATGTTACATCACGCCCCAGTTGTTCCAATTCAGAACTAACATACTGTCCAGCTTTCTTGAGTAAGATGGTAAGTTCCTTTGCGCATCCAGCATCAGCAGTTGTAAAGAATGTGTATGCTGTTCCTCCTGCTGCAGCACTTCCAAAACGGTCAATGTGGTAAACATAATCATCAAGGGATCCTGGAAAGTCGTAATTGATAACATATTTCACATCCTTCAGATCTGCAAATTAAGCATAAAACAGATGATTAGAAACAAGGCTTCTGGCCATTTCACAGGATAAACGCATTCAACAAAAATTTGCCAGGTTGACACACCTCAACCCACAAACCCTAGGTTACTAACAGGACATGATTTTGGAAAGGGGGATGTCGACTAGTAAATCAAATAAAGCCTTCAAATGTGATGAGATTGAAGAACGTAAATTTCTTTCTAAATAAAATTATAATAGTAATAATAGATGCAACTGTTGATGATGCACAACCAAAAAAGAGTTCATTTCAAGTCTTTCACAAACCAAGAGAAATTCTATTAATACCTAGAACACGAGCAGCTACATCTGTTGCAATCATTATAGGGATCTTGCCAGCTTGAAACTTAGAGGTAATACCGATCCTTTCAGCTTGACTTTTGTTTTCATGAAACGAGGCTGCGGGCAGGCCGGCCGTGCAAAGCTGCAGGGCGATCTGATCGTGTGATTCACGTCCTTTCTTTGTATCCATGAATATCACTACTCTGCTGCCATCCGATATACCATATAGCAGCGCGACCAACCTGAAAATTTGAAATAAATCAGAGATATATATAACCTCAAACAAACTGCACGGAGTCAACCATTAGAATGTCCCCTACTTGTTATATTTCTGATCTTCAGTAAGGACGTAAACAATTTGGTCAACCGGAGGTGTCACTTTCAGATCTGGACAAACTATTTGAACCTGTTGAACATCCAAAGATTAATATCAAACATGTATTGGGTATTGCACATGAGAAAATACGCCAAGAGTACTATTGCAATCACAAGATAGAATTAAAAGGACATTATGTGACTACCAATTTCATCCACTAACAATAATTAAAAACGAATATGTGATGGAAAAAAAATTGTAAGATACATTACTTTGCAAGAGTTGTGAAGGAATAGCTTTGCCCGTTTATCAACCTCTTCTGACCAGCCAGTACTCCAGAATGATTTTTGACAGTCTGAGCGAATCTGTATTCAACAAACCCACAGATAGCAAATGACAATTTCAACTGAACATAAACTTTGATATATAAACACGCACGCACACTCACACACGTGTGTAAGGGAATTTAAACATGCTACAGAGTTCATATGACCCCTTTAATGGAATCCAATAATGTTTTCCAGCTTTTCAAGAGATTGACATTGAAAACATAGCACTGCAGGTATGAAGAACCAATTAAGGGTAACATGTCAAACCTCAGATAATATATTTCGTATTTGAGACTCATGCGTGTCTGATAGCATCCAATCAGCACCATCCAACACAAGGTATGTGACACTTTTCAAGTTCGTACTTTTGCTCTTTAACAAAACAAGCAAGCTACTAAGTGTGTCGATTAAAATCCCACCTCCTGAGCCAAAATATTAAATGCAATCAATAAGAAGAATAACTGTGTACTCAAACAAGAAATCCCCTTAAAATCACCACCTACACAAAATTGCATGTTACCATAACCAAAGCCTATAACAGAAAAACAAGTAGCAAACGTCCGACACATGAAAATTCAGTCACAGTAGCAAAACAATAGCAATAGATAGTAAAATGTAGTTCTCCGCCACCGCCACCGCTACCGCCTACCACAAGTCTGACCAGAATTTTCATGCTTTAGCAGGTGCAAGCCCGATAAGACTTTAATGTTGTAAGCTGCAGCAAATTTAGCACCCTCCTGTTGGATTTGTTCAGCACGTTGAATTGTGGGAGTCAAAATCAATACTATTGGGCCATCTCCACCACGAGCTGAAGGAAAATTATAAAATGGAAAACTTTATTCCTGATTCATATATATATATACACCAAATATATGATTCAAAGAGCTTGGATTTGATTATCTTAAGGATAACTAACATACATAATACTCACATCGTTTTGGCTGGGAGTTTACATGGAGAATTGCAGGGATCAGATACGCTAGCATCTTCCCGGATCCTGGTTGAGCAATACCAATGAGGTCATGGTCCTCCAAATCCATTGGCCATACTTGAGCTTGAATTGGTGTAGGTCTAACAAATCCAGCTTTTGAAAATTCTTGTATAACATTTTCTGCGATGGTCACGAGAATTGAAGAATTCAATACATATATAATATATATATATATATATATATATATATATATATATATATATACACATTCAGATGGAAATGTATGTTTGTTATATTGTATGACAAGGTAATTTGTTTAATACAAGAAAAAAATAAACATAGGTACGCGGAAACCCAGTGTCATCGAAGGTCCTGATGGGGTTTGGAATATCATCCCAGCCTACAACACGGATTCCCCTCCGTAGCCGATACTCCTCGACGTCTTCGGGCGTATAAGAGGTGCCATCAGTAGTAATCTCCATCTTGTGGTGGTCCTGCGTATCAGGCGTGCCGCCTTGTGCAGCAATTTTCCTCCACTGCCTCCTGGACTGCTTGACCTCGGCGGCGGTGCCTTGAGCAGTAATTTTCCTCCGCTGCCTCCTGGACTCATTGACCCCGGCGGCGGTGCCTTGAGCAGCATCGGCATCATAATGCTGTGCTAAACGTGCCGAGCGACGACAGCCTCCCGTAGCACCACCACCAACAGCATCCAACCTACTGAAACAAACAACACAAACTTAAGAAGTTTTTCAATCACCTCTCGGCCGGGTAACTGCTAAGTACTAACAAAAGTTAGCAACTTTAAATTCGTACCCACAATTCCCCATGAGAGAGAGAGAGAGAGAGAGAGAGAGAGAGAGAGAGAGAGAGAGAGAGAGAGAGAGAGAGAGAGAGAGAGAGAGAGAGAGAGAGAGACAGAGAGAGAGAAAGAGAGGAGTTACCTTCTTTTTGTCCCACAACGGTAAGAATTGGGGTCATCGGAGCGCTTCGCCATATTCGAGATAGCAAGTTAGGGTTACAGATTTTGGTACCAGTTACGATCCCGTTGGAAATTTTAACCAGGTAAGATTATTTTGTTGCTTTTATTTAGGTTTCTGATCGCGGCTGATCTAGTTCGATTTGGATCAAGCCCATCATTATATAGGCTTATTCCTACTTTTTGAAGGTCAGATATCATGTGGACTGGGGCCATGACCAACCCCGTAATTTTTATTTTATTTATTTATTTATTTGATTGAGTTTTTGCTAACGTATTAATTTTGATTTGATTTCTATTTTTATTAAATCACAAATAACTAACAGGATAGACGACGTACTTGTTTGAAGGAGACAACGTGGCTTTAATTTTTGGGTTTTTTTTATTTTTTTAAATGGTTGTAAATTTACATATTAAATTGGATGTGTGATTGTAATTTGGTAAGTAAATTATGAGTTTAAAGAGATATTGATAATTTAATAAAAAAATAATATAGGTACAGAGAGTAAGTTACGTGCAGAGTGAAATTATATTGATGACTGATTCCATAGTATGTAAATCCGAATCATACATGAAATGATGAAAATGATGAATTCTATATAATTAGGAGTATTGTTCAATAAGATTTTGTGTTTTAAAACGATTTGAAAACTTAGACGATCATAATCTTCAAAGGCCGTGGAGAATATGTCAGACGTTTTATATCTGGATAAGTAAAGAAGTTGAATGTTATCTCATACGTACAACTATAGAATAAATATATTATTTAATCAATTTTTCAATTTGATCCAAATTAATATGTTTTCTTCAGTAACTACTAACATTTGTTTACACACTTTGTGTGTGTAAGAACACTTTTATTAAATAATAATAATAATAATAATAATAAAAGGGGGAAGGAAAGTGGGAGAGAAAACATGGGTAGGAGTGCGAGGTTTTTGTTTTGTTTTTTTTTTTTAATATTAAAAATATCTTAACATCACCTGTAGATGAGAATTCAATAAAAAACAATAAAATTTAAATATGTGAAATTACATTATTACTCATCATTTTGTTTTGTGATAAAAGATTAAATAGTCATTTTACTAGCTTTTGGTAGTTTAGATTATTAACGAGAAGTCGCAAAACAATTCATTAATATATATATATATATATATATATATATATATATATATATATAATAAAACTCTTGCACGTACGACTTGAGAATTAGAAGCAAACGTACGGTTCGATTCGAGCCAAGTAACATATAATATATATCCAGCTACAGATATTCTGATTGTAAAGTTAATTTTTGAACCAAAAGAAATATATAGTGATCAAAGGTCGATAGGTGGTGGCATAGTCTTCAAGGGCAGGATCATCGGATAATACACTGCGTCAATTAACTCCTTCTCTAAATAGCCATAGCCTTCGTCCCCCCATTCTCTTCCCCAGTTGCTCATCACGATATAATACTCCTTGCCCTCAACGTCACAGCCCCAACCAACCAATACCATGGCATGTAGCTCAATCTTCCTTCTACGTCGATTATCTTCTCTGGTATAAATGGTGTCCTGTAAAACAAAAAAACACATGTCTAACTAATCAATCAATTTAAATTATTGCAGCCATAAAATATTTATCTAAAAAGTTTAAACTTTAAACTGAAGTTACGAAAATAAACTTACAGCTTTGTATTCGTGGACTGCATCTGAAAAATAAGCCTCACATAGCAACGGGAATTGCTTTAACATGTGTTTTATGGATACTTCATCAGCACCCTCAAGTTCCCTGTAATCATGAACCATGAACTTGTGCAATTTATCCTTCACAAAAAAAAAAAATTAAAATATTAATTTAATTTGTTGTAGTTAGAACAAAAATATAATTATAACAAAAATAAAGAGATTTAAATAGAAACTCACCAACGATCTTACTGGTGCTGGTTGGCCAAATGGCCAGTCCTCCTCAAGAGGAAGTCCGAACCTGCATGCATAGCGAAGCGCGTCCACTACGCTAATGTCGCAATCCGGATGCATCTTCCCCACGAGCACATCTTCCCTATCTTTTTTAATAACATCCATCCGGGCCTTTACAGCACGCTCATCAAAAACACCCCTCGCTATACTCTCTAACGAGAGTATAGCTGGTGCAGATCCTCCAATACGCATAAAGTAGTGCGCTGATACGCAACTACAAACACTGGTAGAGACACATACCGCTGAAAATAAACATAATTGCAACAATTAAACAGAGAGAAACCCAGACCTAAAACAAATACTCAATTTTTTACGCCTACTTTTGAACTTCTCATCCGAAAATTCTTCTACACAAGTATATTCCAATACAATAAAAAATATAATTAATTAGAACCCTGTGCAATTTCACTTCAAAGGGGACTCTATCATGGCCATGGCTGTCATGCAAAAAGAGGAGGAAGACACCTCTCCTATGGGGCCTATAATCAATGACATTTGTGCTTTTTTACAAGAATTTTCTACTCCAAAATTCAACCATATAGAAAGAAAAATGCACAAGAAAAAAAAACGAAAAAAAAAAAAAAAACTTACGTCTTGTATGCTTCTGAACAGGAGGAAGAATCCCTTCTTTTCTCCAGTCTATGATTTTTGCTTTTCCGTTCCTTCTCCACACTGCATCCATACAGTCTTGCCACTCTTTTGTTAGTTGAAAACGTTCCATTTTCTCCAAATACATTTTCCTGCATAAAAGAAATTAAAAATATTAATGGGTAAATGAATTTTAATCCTTGTATTAGATTAATTTTTCATTAAAACCTGGTGTAGGATTAGATATCTCATCTTAGTCGTCCATGTCATCATGATTATTATAACTCATATTTTGTTATTTTTAAACTCTTTAATGGCTCTTTTTGTTCCCATTGTGCCCCTGTAATTAATTATTCTACCTTGTTGGTATGTTCGAAATTATTAGGAACTAATTTTGACTTTGATTAATTTACGCTTGATTTCTTCCATGATTATGGTGCCTGAAAAGATTTTTCATATCATCATGCCTAAATTACAAGATGAAAAAAAGTTAAGGTATCACATGTATAATACACCAAAGAAGTGTCTGTATCTAAATATTAGTACCTAGCTAAACACACATAATCATAGTATATAGTTGAACGCACCTAAATCATAGTATCTAGTTGAACACACCTAAATCATACTACCTAGTTGAACGCACCTAAATCATAGCACCTAACCGAATGCGTCTACATTATAGTACATAATCGAATGCATCTACATTATAGTGCCTAATCAAATGTGTCTAACTTATCGTACCTAATCGAGTATAGATGCAATAGATCAAACCCAACTAAAAAATCAGCAATTCATAAGCTGACAAAATGATCAAAACCCGATAATAAAATCAACCAACACAAAATAACAACAAAAACTAATAAAATAAGAAATATCACAAGCACAATGCCACAGAAAAAATTACTGAACCCATCCTCTTCGTTGCAAATCGTTGGAATCCACATACATACACAAGCCATATACCATTAAAAACCAACAGAAAGAAAATAGAGAGAGACCTACTACAAATGATGAGAAAGAGGAGAAATCGTAATTAGAAGATGTGTGTGAAGAAATCAGTCAATACATGGGTGGTTTACCAAATCCCGTTTTCAATTGCAAAAGCCTAATCTTTTTTTCTAAGAAGCCTAATCTCTAATTCCTTTGATGTTGCATCTTTAAATGCCGGATGCTCATTTTGAATTAAAATTAATTCAGTAGAAGAGCTAGTTACCTCATTTGTATTTCGGTTTTCTTGGGCTGAGCTTTCGTTTTTCTGGGCGGCATTTTCCCTCTCTCTCTCTCCCTCTTCACTGAGAGCGCTGGTTTTAGAAAATGGGAGCTCTGGCAATAGAGTGAGAGCTGGCTTTAGAAAATGGGGAGCTCTGTCAAAAGAGAGTGGAGAGCGCTGGTTTTAGAAAATGGGAGTTCTGGCAAAAGAGTGAGAGCTGGCTTTAGAAAATGGGGAGCTCTGTCAACAGAGAGTGGGTTTAGGGTTTTATCGTTCAGACCACCTACCCTTTTGTTTCCTTTTCATATTAAAAAAATTTGAAAAAGGAAAACAAAACCATTAATGTGGGTCCTCGTCCGTACATCAACATGAACCAATGAGGGCAGAGGCACATCCACGAAGAACAGGTCTACCTATTTGCTCGTGTGAGATTGAGATATCGATCGTCCAATTTTTTTTGGTGCAAAACATGAAGAAGCATTACAAATTTACAATCTCTTGGATGAAGAAGTAAAAGATTAGGAATTAAATTGCGAGATTAATTTCTCAAACTAGACATTATCGTGATTGACATGAAGCAATTAAAATTTGCCCAATGACACTATTGCAAGCATGAAAAAAATACAAGACCGAGTTTCATTCTGTAATCGCATAATTCTCATACCAATATTAAAAAATATTATGCCACAAATGTTAGATGACGGAGAGTCTATAAAAAAGTCCTATTTTTGAAGGAGTTTCCTTGACAATTCTCATCGCGAAAGCAATCCTCATACTTTACATCCACCAATGGTAAATAACTAACTCATAGGCGGTAATATTAATATGTTTCATGGAAATTATTACTTGATCAATGAATTGGTTACAGAAACAAAAGAATTAACGTACATCCATGGAGTAATTCTTGTAAACATTATCCGGTCATAACTGATAATTCGCTATCGCTTCTTGTTGAAATAAATGAAGAGTAAGGCTACATACTCCATGATTTTACACAAGAGTAATACAAGATAGATCAAATTTATAAACTATATAATACGTTATCAATAGAAATAAGTACTTTAATCAAATAATAAACCAAGTATAACACCCACGATATATACAACAACAACAACAACAAAGCCTTTTCCCACTAGGTGGGGTCGGCTATATGAATCCTAGAACGCCATTGCGCTCGGTTTTGTGTCATGTCCTCCGTTAGATCCAAGTACTCTAAGTCTTTTCTTAGAGTCTCTTCCAAAGTTTTCCTAGGTCTTCCTCTACCCCTTTGGCCCTGAACCTCTGTCCCGTAGTCACATCTTCGAACCGGAGCGTCAGTCGGCCTTCTTTGCACATGTCCAAATCATCGGAGCCGATTTTCTCTCATCTTTCCTACAATTTCGGCTACTCCTACTTTACCTCGGATATCCTCATTCCCAATCTTATCCTTTCTCGTGTGCCCACACATCCCACGAAGCATCCTCATCTCCGCTACACCCATTTTGTGTACGTGTTGATGCTTCACCGCCCAACATTCTGTGCCATACAACATCGCTGGCCTTATTGCCGTCCTATAAAATTTTCCCTTGAGCTTCAGTGGCCTACGACGGTCACACAACACGCCGGATGCACTCTTACACTTCATCCATCCAGCTCGTATTCTATGGTTGAGATCTCCATCTAATTCTCCGTTCTCTTGCAAGATAGATCCTAGGTAGCGAAAACGGTCGCTTTTTGTGATCTTCGCTAGATTGCTCCAGTCATTAGTGTGGATAAGTATATAAATGGATAGAGATAGGAAAGCAAACACAAGATGTACGTGGTTCACCCAGATTGGCTACGTCCACGGAATAGAAGAGTTCTCATTAATTGTGAAGGGGTTTACACAAGTACATAGGTTCAAGCTCTCCTTTAGTGAGTACAAGTGAATGATTTAGTACAAATGACATTAGGAAATATTGTGGGAGAATGATCTCGTAATCACGAAACTTCTAAGTATCGGAGTGTGGTGTCGTCTTGACTTGCCTTATCTGTCTCATAGGTAGATGTGGCATCTTCTCTGGAAGTACTCTTCCTCCATCCAGGGGTGGTATCTTTAACTGGTGGAGATGCACAAGGTAATGTATCAATTTCACTTGAAGCTTACTTGTAGTCTCAGGCTTGGTCAAGCGCGATACAAACCATGTAGTAGGAGTCCCCCAAGTCGCCGAGCTAGGGGGTCTGCTGAAAGAGGTGACAGACAAGGTAAGCAATCAGAGCTCCGACTGATTGTTCACCTTCTCCCCATCTTGCAGCAGCATGAAGGATAAAGAGAAGAAAAATGAGAAGAGATGATATGAGATACTTTTGCTTTTGAAGAAGTAACTTTCCACAGGCTTATTCTTGAACTGAGCTGGAGGGTTTTCTGGTTTCCTCCAGAGTATAAGGCCGACTGAAGAATTTGAGGGTCAAAACAAGTCCATCAAATCTAGAGTACGTTCCACCCTGCTGATATGGGATACTTTTGCTTTTGACAGAGTAATAGATGTATCGGCACGTGTGCTATTACGCTTGTCTCCACATGCTTCCTTGTATCCTTCGCACTTGCCCTATCTGTTCCTCAAGCAGATGCGGAATCTTCCCTGGAAACATAAGATGTTGAAGATGAGTACTCGAGAGCAATGCCAGGTAAGTAATCAGGTAAGGGGTTCCAGGCAGTCAGTTCCTGGCTGGAAGCTTGATTCCAAGTGCTGACTGATTGCTCTCTTTCTCCTTGTCTTGCAGGTAAAAACAAGGCCAAAGGAAAAGATAGAGAAAAAGCATGATATGGGATACTCTTGCTTTTAACCCTGATGATATGAGATATTCTTGCTCTAGTATAGCTTGTTTGCAGAGGTATTATCGGGGGGAAAGAAATAATGCTATTCCTTTAGGTCTGCCTGTCCGTTAGGGATGGAGGTCGACATATATAGGAGTCTCCCTAACAACAAGTAATAATGCTATTCCTTTACCCTGCTTGGTCATAGCACGGTAGTGGGAGCTGCCAGTTTCACATGTTTTAACTCTGTCAGAGCACTTTGAAAAAGTGGTCTGTGGTATCTGGCTCTCGAGATTCGGAGAACGATGCCTCTTCGATTTTTGAGAAAGCAATCATGCTGGGGGTCTGGCTCTCGAGATTCGTAGAGCAGTGTCTCTTCGATTTTTGAGGAAGTAATCATGTTGGGAGTCTGGCTCTCGAGATTCGGAGGGCGGTGCCTCTTCGATTTTGGAGCAAGCAATCCTGTTGGGAGTGTTGTCTCGAATGTGAGTAAAGGTTGGGCATGTTTGCTAGTCTACCTTGCCACGAAGCACAAAGGTTGACACACAGGGACTTTCCAATTATCCAGCAATGGTACTGTTCCTTTACCCTCTCTTCGCTTTTGAGAAAGTAGTCATGTTGGGAGTCTGGCTCTCGAGATTCGGAGGACGGTGCCTCTTCGATTTTGGAGCAAGCAATCTTGTTGGGAGTGTTTTCTCGAAAGTGAGTAAAGGTTGGGCATGTTTGCTAGTCTACCTTGCCACGAAGCACAGAGGTTGACACACAGGGACTTTCCAATTATCCAGCAGTGGTACTGTTCCTTTACCCTTGTGGGTAATAATATGGTAGCTAGACCTTCAAAATTTATGTGTCTAAAACTTTGTTAGTGCTGTTTCTTTGCTATTCTTTTACCTTTCTTGGTCAGAGCGATGTAGTGGGAGCTGCAAGCTTCACGTGCTCAACTTTGGCAGAGAACTTTGGCAAAGTTATTTGTGGTACCCATGAGCTATTGTTGCGTGTGGGAAGTGGGTGATTGAAACAGTAAGATTCATGTGCTTTCTACTTCACCAGAAGCCTTCGACAGAATGCCCATAATTTCTGCAAAGCTGAGTGTGCGTGTGACAGGTGTTGATAAGGCTAGAAAAGTAGGTGTCTCTTCGATTTCTGAGATCGGCCCTCGTGGTCTCTGAGCAGCCCAGCTTTTGAGAAAGCGAGCGCCTCTTCGATTGATTCGGAGAACGATGCCTCATCGATTTTTGAGAAAGCAATCATGCTGGGGGTCTGGCTCTCGAAGATTCGGGGAGCAGTGTCTCTTCGATTTTTGAGAAAGTAATCACGTTGGGAGTCTGGCTCTCGAGATTCGGAGGGCGGTGCCTCTTCGATTTTGGAGCAAGCAATCTTGTTGGGAGTGTTTTCTCGAATGTGAGTAAAGGTTGGGCATGTTTGCTAGTCTACCTTGCCACGAAGCACAGAGGTTGACACACAGGGACTTTCCAATTATCCAGCAATGGTACTGTTCCTTTACCCTCTCTTCGATTTTTTAAGAAAGTAGTCATGTTGGGAGTCTGGCTCTCGAGATTCGGAGGACGGTGCCTCTTCGATTTTGGAGCAAGCAATCTTATTGGGAGTGTTTTCTCGAATGTGAGTAAAGGTTGGGCATGTTTGCTAGTCTACCTTGCCACGAAGCGCAGAGGTTGACACACAGGGACTTTCCAATTATCCAGCAGTGGTACTGTTCCTTTACCCTTGTGGGTAATAATATGGTAGCTAGACCTTCAAAATTTATGGGTCTAAACTTTGTTAGTGCTGTTTCTTTGCTATTCTTTTACCCCTTCTTGGTCAGAGCGATGTAGTGGGAGCTGCAAGCTTCACGTGCTCAACTTTGGCAAAGAACTTTGGCAAAGTTATCTGTGGTACCCATGAGCTATTGTTGCGTGTGGGAAGTGGGTGATTGAACAGTAAGATTCATGTGTTTTCTACTTCCCCATAAGTCTTCGACAGAATGCCCATAATTTCTGCAAAGCTGAGTGTGCGTGTGACGGGTGCTGACAAGGCTGGAAAAGTAGGTGCCTCTTCGATTTCTGAGATCGGCCCTCGTGGTCTCTAAGGAGCCCAGCTTTTGAGAAAGCGAGCGCCTCTTCGATTTCTGAGATCGGCCTTCGTGGTCTTTGAGCAGCCCAACTTTTGAGAAAGCAAACGCCTCTTCGATTTCTGAGATCAACCCTCGTGATCTCTAAGCAGCCCAGCTTTTGAGAAAGCAAACGCCTCTTCGATTTCTGAGCAGGCGCCTCTTCGCTTTCT